CGAGGGTTCGATCGTCCTCGTTACAAAAGGGTCCCTGGCCGCCTCCTTGGCCAGTTGGTCGGCACACTCGTTGCCCGGGATCCCGATGTGTCCTCGGACCCACCTCGTGTCAACGTGTCGTGCGTGCCTCGCCCTCAGTACTATACCCCTTATCTCCTGTACCAACTTATACTTATTATACCCGTCGCTCAGGGCCTGAAGCGACGACTGGCTATCAGAGTAAACCGTGACCGGCTCTGGCCCGGGTGTTTTTTTTAACTCTCTCTGCCCTGTGAGCACTAAGAGGGCCTCTTTTTGCGAGCCCATTATGGGTTCGGCCAGACCCACAATGGGACTGCCGGGTGGTGAGAGACGGGGCCGACATATCCGAACAGACAACTCCCGAAAAATTCCTGGGGATTTTTCGACCCGTTCGGATTCGAACCGTGGCCCGGGTGTTGTTGGATCTATTTGGAGGCTCCCTCCAGGGCCACCAGTTCCGCTCGGAACACGAACGCCTCCTCGTTCTGTCTGACCACTGACTGTACCCTTGAACTCCGTCAGAAAAGACGCAGTACGCAGCACCTACTAAGCTGCTGTCTTTAGAGCCATCGGTGTATTTTTCAAAACCGCTGTTTGTCGGTTCACCGACATCCCAATCTATTCCTATCCCATATGCAGGATGGACTCTCAGTATGTCTGACTGACTGACATCTAAGTTTGATGACTCACATACCATCTGATTACGGTGCTTCGCCTCTAAACCTTGCACTGTTGTCATGTAGAAGGCTGCCTCTTGGTTGACAACCAGAGGCAACGGTATCAGCCCGGCCAACACCAGGGCCGCTTACGTAGACAGTTCTACACGCTTTCGTTACCCGCAGGGAGGCGGGCCTCTGAATCGTTAGCCGCTTGTTTGAAGTTGGCGGATTCCTTCCACCAGATAACACAGGCATAGCAGATAACGCGTTCCAAGCTCTTCTTGTAGATGGCCCGGATCGCTTCATCGCTAAGACCATAGTCCTGTCGATAGCACCGCTATTGTGAGGTTTGTTCTTTCTCGAACACTTCTCAGATGGGACGTCCCGCATAGTGTCTGGTCGATGACAACACCGAGGTATTTTAACTCGTTTACCCTTCGAATAGGTTTGTCCCGGATTCGGTATATTGGTAGGCGCGCCAACACTTCTGTCCGGGCCACCGTCAGGGCCTCCGATTTCTCAGGACTGAAGGACAGCTTATGCAGCTCTTCCCAGCGAACGAGTTGCTCTATTGCTTCGTCGCCGCGAATCTCCATTTCGCGTGTACTTACGCCTACAATTACTAGCAACAAATCGTCTGCTTAGACCTGCGGCTGAACATTGTCTGGGTGGACAAGTCTCAGCGCCGTGTCTGCAAGAACATTCCAAAGGAGGGGCCCTACGCATGACCCCTGGGGACAACCCCTCTGCAGTTTCCTGACAAACCTGGCACTTGGGTCTGGTATTCTACTTTGCAGGCGCTCAGGAAACTCTCGACAAGCGAAAAGAGGTGGTCGGCAGGTTTGCCTTCCTCAATTCTCCCACTATGGATAGCCACCAGACATTGTCGAATGCCTCCGCAACATCCATCGAAACGAGCGAAGTGCGGTTGCCCCGCTGGCGGTTCTGGTAAACCAGGTTGACCACTCGATGTAGTGCTACGCGGGTCGGCACACCGGGCTGGAACCCATATTGCTGTGGGTGTAAAAGCCCTCGCCGCTTCAAGTGGTAATAAATTCTGACAGAATCCTGTCTTCTGTCTAAAACTTTTAGGACTGGCAATAGGCTTATTGGTCTTTACGATTTCGGTTCGTCCTTCGGGCGCCTACTCCTATGAATTAATTAACGCGCCCGCTTTCATTGCACTGGAAAGTGACCCAGGAGTAGACACTTCTGATATAAGACACGGATCAGATCTGGTTATGCCTGCTGCAGAACTTATACCATTTCGGCTGTGATCCCATCAACTCTTTAGTTTGCCGATGGTATGGGCTACCTCAGAGTTTGTCACCGGCACGGGCATCGCAGCCTCAAGAACGGGCAGTTTCGCGCCTTTTCGAAGCCACCTCTGTTCTTCGGTGTCATCGGACTGCTCGTCACACGGAAAGTGCGATTGGAGCAGTACCTGTATCGACTCCTCCTGTGTGGAGGTTTTGGTGCCGTCGGGTCTTTTGACGGGTCCTAAGACTGCTCTACGCTTTAGCTTCTCCATCACCAACTTGTAGGGGAGACAGAACGGGTTTTCGTCACTTACTTTTTGACAGAAACCGAGCCACTAGGTCATTTTGGCACTGTTTAACTTGTATTTGTACTCATTACTCAGCATTAAAACTGCAGTATCCTGCAGCCACGTCCTTCGTCCCTCTAATCGTGTGTAAGAAGAGGATTAAACGCAAGCTAAGTTCCCTTATTTACCGACCGTAGTCGGTTCTTGCCCGAACTCTTTCGAGTTTCCGTGTGTAACAGCTGGCACTCGTGGTAGACTGGCCCGTACCCAGCCGCAGGCCATACTTTTTATTAGCCTTCGTGCAGTTAACCCTGTCGCTTTAGAGTGCTGGCAGTAGGAAAAAAACATGGTCAAACTGTTCTGGTAAACCACATTGAACACGAAGACTCGGTCAGCCTGAGAGTGCGTGTCGATTGGATCTATCTGATAGCGACTGTTCATTTCTGAGTGAAGAAGTTTGGAAACTAAACTCGTTTTTCCTTTGTTTCTTACTTTTCTTTTGTGGCACGTTTTACACTTAATAAAAATATTCATCATTTCAGTCGTTACGTTGAAATAGTTTTTTGACGTTTCCATTTTTTATTCTATATCAACATCCCTGTCTTGTAGCAACACGGGCGTTGGAGAACATCGAATAATTCCTTATCTGGCAAACAGCATTTTACAGGTTCAACTTTTTAATTTCACCGATGTCGACAACATCAAATCTTTCAGTTTTAGATGTTAAAAAGATATCTTCTTCGACAATCTCCGTAAAAAGTTTATGATAATTATCTCTCGTCATTTACATTGTAATGGTTGTCTTTAGCTTTCCTTAAGTAATTTCTTCGCGAAGCACACTTTCTACCTTCTCCGCGGATTCTCGCCATATTGTATTATCTCGAATAAACATAACAGTAACCATCCCAAAAACTGGTTAATAACCTATAATCTCAACAAACTTCATCTTTTAACTCTTTTCGCTTTGTGGCCAATAAGAAAACATTTTAAAGCCCATTGTAGGTTTGGCTAAGACTACAACGAGAGTGGCCGAATGGTGAGAGAAGGATCCGGGTCAAACCACCCCCCAAAACTTCCGGCGGTCGCTTGCCGGGATTCGATCCCAGTAAGAACTGGTTTTGACTAGTCAAAAGTGTAAATGCTTCAACATTAGCTTTTATCGGTAATTACTAGGTTTTACTAACAGTAGAGCGAATCCTAGATTTAACTACGCTTAGTTAAAACAAGACTTAACGAAGGATCTTGGTTAGAACTGGCTTTGTAGTTTCGCCTAGTAAAATTGGATTTTGACCGTAACGCGTAACATAGGGTATTGCCTACTTTATAGTATATGTACAATATATATTTAAAGACATACAAATACATATAAACAGTATAGTCTATATAAAACTTATAAACGTCTGTCTTCAGAGCGGTGACGCGAAGACTTGGGTTTTTAAATTTAACTCCGACAAGTACTAAAAATTCATTTATATTGTACTGTCGTTCCAAGGGAAATTGTTGTCCTTTTTCTACGATATTGTAATCACTTATTACCATTATCATTACGTTAGCACTGTATATATATATACACATTCGTCGACAAAATAAGTTACGCGCCAAAACGAAGGCGATACAACAGAATGAAACTGTATTAGTGCTAACGTAATGATAATGGCAATAAGTGACTACGATATCGTAGAAAAAGGACAATAATTTCCCTTATGTGTATATATATATATACACACATAAAGGAAATCGTGATTAATAAGAAAAAAACCCAGAATCCTAGAATTAGAACTATTAGATCTTCATTTTTCACGAGTAGCCTCCGACCGGACGAATGTCCCGCCGAAAACATAGGGAAAAATGATAATAAGGTACGCGGAATCTTCCCGAAATATGCCAAGTACGTTGGATTATTACACGGTAATTATCGACAAATAATAAACTGAAATAGACTATAGATTATCGTTGGTCGATCTCAGATAGAACGGCGATTGCAATCTGGCAACTTTATAGAATATAAAAGATGTATTTACACGAATTTTTATACTATAAATTCCACCGCGCATCAAAAAGTTTCAAAAAATAAATATAAAACAAAGTAATGTTTGCGTCGAGAAACATGGAAAAGGTTTTTGTGAAAAAAGGAAAACAATCGAAAACATGGAACCGAAAAAATGGTTTTAAAGTTTGTATATTCACTAAAACTAAATACAATGAATTACTTATAGCGATAGAACTCGTATATTAAAATAGAAAATCCGCATTAAGCGCGCCAAAGCACGCGCAAAGAATCTAGATACATTCAGTTTTTATTACAGATACTCAAAAAAGAATATTAATATAATATTTAATTGACATACTTGAGAAATAATTCAAAATAATGCGGCCGCCTATTTATTAAGCGACACGTACAAAGAAACGTTCCCTTCGACTTCTATTTATATAAATCTTGCTTTTTATGAGGTATTTTATTAATCTTTCGCGTAATTGTTTTTATAATTTACTAAATTTAATTTTTAAAATGTCAAAAATATCACCGTATAAGAATATCGAACTGGAATATATAACACCTAAAATATTTCATTTCGCTATGTAAATAATAATAATAATAATAATAATAATAATAATAACGAGAAATTAAACGATTAAAAACCATTAAAATTATATTGTATATCTGGCAATTCTTCTTAAACGACTTTTCGCATTTATATTATACACCGTATATAATGTAAGGCTCGGCTTTAATATTTATATATTAGACGTAATATTAAATGAAAATAATTTACCCGTAACTTTCACGAAGATTTTTCAATATCCATCGGAAGTTTGCCGAAAATATATAAAGTTCACTTTTACGTTTTATTAGAAAATTATATTCCGAAATGCCGGCGCCACGTTAATCGAGTCTGTAAAAGCCGTTAGAGGTTTGAAATTCAATTTCGATAACAGCGAATTATCTTTAGATTTCGATCTTTGCCCCCGATTTATCGCCTATCGGATAATCGTTAAATTTTGAAACGTCGCATACTTTATTTACCTCCCGATGTAACCGATCCTCCAATTAGAAATTTCCGATAACGTTCATTTATAAGATTATTATGATCCGAAAAACGTCCTATAAACTAAATAGGCGTAAAGCGGTAAAAGTTTTGATGTTTGTAATAGTAATATTTCCTTTATTCCGAATATTCATATGGCGAAAGATCAGAAGCCGCGTCATTTCAATTTTCCAGCGTAGGATTGCATTGACCGGATAACCAATGCCACGCGATCGGCGGTAAACGATTCTATGGACGAAAAGGGCAATCGCTCGGACCCCATCGGCGGGAGGCTCCAAAAAACGTATTGAAAATTATTTTTAAAATATTTTCACGCGAAAACTAGAAATTCTCGAGAAAAACGCCAGTAACGAACTACCACGTCATTTCCTGTTATCTAGACGTATTGGTTAAAATTTCGCGGTAAGGAGAAGCCAGTGATTAAAAATACGATTTAAATGAATTTTAACTTATCGACCGTTCTATTCGGCGTATAAATTTAACTTAATTTAGTATTTAATGCTTGGTGTTAAATTCGCGCGCTACGCAATTTCTAATAGATGAAAAATTTGAACGAGAAACGACGTTACTCTTCTGTAATCGAAACTTCGCTACCACTTTAGATTTAATAACTTTTATATAAATTAATTCTGAAACTATATAAATATGGAATCTGCTTAAATCCTTCCGATTTTTCTCATCATTCTACGGTGTTTGTCTATTTTTCCGGTTGTGTTATATATAACGGAGGAAAAGTACGGCGGTCAAAAAACGACTCCCCGAGATTTTTACATTTTTGGACTCGAGATATGTCGAGAAATGTAATAATATTTGGCACGTTTTTCTGTACGTACGGATGTTAATGCGTGTGGGGGGGCAAGATTTTATTCGCCCTTTTCCAAGTTTAATAATTCCCGCGCTTTCGGTCGAAAATTTCTAAAATTTTGCGGGGAGACTGGCGTATTAGGGGAATTGACGCCGTTAAATTTTGGCCATTAAAGATCGAGACAGCGGGGAGACGGAGGGGTCGAACTTATTAACGATTTTACTCGTTATTAGAATTTACGATTTTTTACAGAACCCATCCCTACTCCGAAAATTAAGCTTTTCGCCATTTCGTAATAATTAAAAATATAAAAAGTTTTAAAATAAAATAACAGATGGCGCCACGGGCAATTTTGAATATTGCTGGGAAAGTTAAGCAATTCGTCGCTGTTTTCCCTCTTTTCTTCCTACGAGCGTTAAAACAGCCATGGCTGGTTCCGACAGACCTACAACGAAGCTCACAATATATCTAGGAAAATTCCTCGCTCGCCCGATTTGATCCCGCGCCTCCCGAGTAGTAGGCCGATACTTTAACCGTCGTCTAATTGGTTTATTTTTCTTCTACTTATTGTTTAAAGTACATAGATATGTTTCAAAAAGAAATAAAAACAGACAGGTCTTTATATCATTAATATCAATATTAGAATCGGTGTTTAAGTTGCGCTTAATCATCCTGGCGTGTTATGGGGAGACAGTAAATACGACACCGAGTTTTGAGATAAGATTAAAATTTGCATTCTGTAATATCCGAGTAAAATAAAACATTTTGCATTTATCATTTATAATATCGATTCTTTAAGCTATATCAGCCTAGCAATTGCATAATTTATCCAGCATTCGTTTTCTAAAGGATAATTATTTTATAAGAAAATCCTTTCCCCGTCTCTACATCTTTTGTTTTCAATAGAATTTTAGAAATAGAAAAAAATATAATAATTGATTTAACAATTTCTTTAAATTCTACGATTATAAATAAGGCGCGAACAATTTTCCGCTACACTAGCGAAACAAACTGTGCCTTATTTTGTTTGTATGGAAGGAAACCCACCGAGGAGGGAAATTTTGTAATTTCCTAAATGTATCTGAGTAAAATAAAGCTGTTGATTGTTTGCTGATTACGGGACTGCGGATGTGATAGTTCCTAGAAAATGACTGTGTATCGATACGCAGTTAAAGCGTAGTATAAATCATAGATTATAACCTACTCAAAAAAACATTTTTTATTTGTTAATATTGAGTTGTAATTTTTATAAACCGATTATATCCATCATACAATGTATATAAATTTAAAAAAAACACCGATAAAATAGAAAGTAACTTGGCTCTCGAGTCGTTAAAAGCGTTATTTCTGATATAATTAATAATAATTAAATCTTCATATCCCGAACATTCTTTGAACGTCGTCGTATCCCGAAACACATCCTTAATTATATCGTTTCGGCATTTCTGTTATTTTATATACATATAGGACTTCGGAAAATTGTATATTTAATTATATATTACTTATCTGGAACAAAGTCAATCATAAACCAACGATTTACACCACGTTGATCTACTTCCCTCTCTTTTCACTCTACGGGCACTAAGACAGCTTTTTTATTACTAAATCCGCGACGAGGCATCCGGGTGGCCAGGGGCAGGGCCTGGTATATTTGGACGGGCCACCTCCCGGAAAAATTTCCGCCATTTTTTGACCGTCCGGACAATCTTAGGTATCGGAGCGGTAGGACGACGCTTTAATCGCCTGGGTTATCCGGTCGATCCCCGCAACGAATATAGAAAAAGGTCCTCTTAGTGTGGAACGAGATGTTTTTGTTTTAATAAGCATATTATACGGAGTTTTGTTTACATCCCGTATTAAGCAATATACTGTAGTCCGATGTCGGACGGATAAAAACAAGGGGTATTATAAAAGTTATTCGTAAACTGTAAATAAAGAAAATATGTAATTCCGTTTAATTAATTCTTCTAAAATATTATAACTATTTACTATTTAATTAATTAAACCGTACAAAAATTATACGAAGCTCCCACACAGTCTTTCAAATTAATAAAAGAGCCATTTTATTATATTTTTCGATAATTTACGATGTATGATGTTTTTTTAAATCAACGTTTTTAACTTATTTTATGACGTAGTCTACTAATTAGCAAATAGCCAGGTCCGTAATGCTTTACGAAACCGCTACAAACAAGAAAAGGAAATTAAAGCCGCGCGTACAGAAACTCGGTAGTGTTTCGCAATCGACGTAAACACTGAATTATATCTTTATTTGGAAACGAGGAATGACGTCATTAGCTATATTTTGATCTTTAATTTCGTTTTAGAATAACAAAATAATCCCTAAACAACGGTCATTTTTTAATGTTCCCGTCACTGTCCGTTATTCGGGGATTTGACCGCGCCAAATAACATCTTTACACGAAGAGAAATGGTGAAATTATGGAGTAATATCGATAAAATCGTGTAAGGAAATTATGCAATTTCGTAATAAATTTCTGGTCGTGTATTTTGTACTCGGTTTGAAAATTAGAATACTTTTTCTATCTCATCAACACTCGGGTATTAGTAATTATATAATCGCGTCGTACAGAATTGAGACTGATTACGTCTTAATCTCACTACTTGGCAGTTTATCGGAATATTAAAAAAACCCAATTGTTTATACAGTAGAACCTCGATTATCCGGACTAATTGGGGATGAAGGTAGTCCGGATAAGGAAAAATCCGGATAATCGAAAAAATACTTTAATTTGTCTTTTAATGATAATACAACACGTTTTCTTTTCGATGACATATCGGTGATATTAAAAGTAAATGCTGTATTTAAATTGTGATCAAATTTTTAAGAAACAAACGTTCGTATTGAATTTGGACTACTACTAACCAACGCTAACAGACTACCTATTGTTTAAAAGGCCCTCTGGTGGCGCAAGAAGACGGATTTCATAAAATAAAAAGCAGTTGAAACTGCATTTTTAAGAATAAAAATTTGACAAACTATTTATCGTTTTATGACGAGTAAAATTTTTT